GTCGCTGTGTACGCGGACTGGGTAGACGGTCGCGGTAACGCGTTGCCGTGCGTGTGTGCGTGCACTGTGCACGTCTACGCACACGACTACAATATCGCGACGCTTGGCTGCCGAGTACTAGGCACGTGTGCGCGTTACTGGGCGCGCAGACGCTGCCTGTGCACTCGCTGGCTTGCCGGGCGTGCCTGCGCGCACTCCGCGTGCGGTAGGCATCACGGTCGGCATTTCGCCAGCCGTCCGACTACATTCTCCGGCAGTCCACATATGACTGATCATGTTTTGGCTTAAATAACATAATTATGCAATAAGCGTTCGAGACTTGCCGGTTAAAAACTGAAATCACTCGGGAGGGCTTATATAGCACCTCCGAGGCTATTTTACTAAAAGAACTTGGACCGAACGACTTGACATCGACATGATCTCTCTACAATGAGCTTAACTATATAAACAGAAGATAAATAGGGGTATACCTTCAGTTCGGTCGAGGATTGCACGATGACTTGCGTGTGGATGTAATGCTTAAACGTGTGCGTGCTTGCTTCCCTTGTGCTTCCACCTTCCTTATCTATTTTTGTGTAATTTTTCTACTATTATTTCTTCACTATTTTCTCTCTTGAATATACTGAAGTTGGACGAGTTGGTGCATGGAATTGTGCATGAAAAGTTTCACACGCACGGTCATTTTAAAGGAGGTGAAACCGAGGGTGAAACTTGGGGTCCAAGAGGTGATTGATGATGCATTTTCCCCCAATGCCAAGTGTCTCGATCGTGGGCTGAAGTGTGGCATGTTTGGCTTAGCCATCGGCCTAGGTGGCGGCCATGCACGGGCTTAGTCATCGCCCGTGCGTGCGTGGTGCGCCGTGTGTGCAAGCAAGGAGGTGAATCACCACCCCACTTGCACACCCAACGTTTATCTTTACATTTTTCCTCATGGTAACATTAGGATGGGGGTTTGGTCTGATCAAGTCACTAAGCATCACCTAAGTGCGTGCTTAGCGAGTACTTAACGCGCGCGCTAATGCGCTGGCGGTGCTGCGCACGATGCGCGTTCATGTGCATGGCTGAGTGCACGGCATGCGTGCATGAATGCGTGTACATGCGTATGCTTCGTGTATCTTGCGTTCTTTCTCGACTTAGCTTAGTTTCAACTTAGAAATTAATTCCGAACATTCTGAATTATTAGTAATTAATCCTGATTAGTAATGTCCGTTTATAAAATAAACGGTTCGAAAATTAATTATCGAATTTGACTTGGTTAATAATTAACCGAATAAACTTTTCTACTTAACGTCGAACTTATTTGCTGAAAATGAACGGAACTAATAAAAGATAATACATCACTTATATTAACAAAAAGTTGGGTTATTACAACTTTCCCATTACCTACCTTGGTGCCCCTTTATATAAGGGCCACTTCACGAGAGCGCTCTTTGCGGAAATCAGGCAGAGAATGATCGACAAGATTTTTGGTTGGTCGCATAGACATATTTCTGTCGGTGGTCTACTTGCGCTGATCAAGAGCACCCTTAGCTCTCTTCTGCTTCATTTACTTATGGTCCTCTTGACGAGATTGACCAGATCACGGCTCGTTATTTCTGGGGCTACGAGGACGGCTCCGGGAGGGGGAGACGTACCCACTGGTGAGTTGGGACTCTATATGCCGGCCTTTCTCTGAGGGTGGCCTTGGCATCCGCTGCCTTAGGGATATTGTTACTGCCTTCTCATACAAGTTGTGGTGGCGCTTTAGGAAAGGAAAGTTGCTTTGGGCCCAGTACCTTCGCGGCAAGTACTGCTCTAGACGCGCCAACCACCCTTGTTGGATGACGGCGGTTGATCATGATAGCAGACGGTGGCGGCGCCTCACTAGGGTCGGTAGGAGCGCCCAGGATCACATCTTTTGGGTTTTGGGTGAGGGGGAGGTTAGTTTCTTAGATGAGTGGGTGATAGGCCATTGTCTAGAGATAGGCTGGTGACTCATTCCCCCTACCTCCTTGTGAGCGACCTTTGGACGGACGGGTCGTGGGAGAGGGGGAAGCTTGATAGAGAGCTGGGCTCCGGGGCAGGTTTTAGCGAGCATTTATTAGATCAGATCCAGCAGATACCCATCTTGAGGGATGGTTCGGATGGCATGAGGTGGAAACTAACATCATCGGGTGTGTTTTCTATTACCTCGGCTGTGGAGCAGATCAAGCTGAGAGATCGGCCTAATCTTCTCTTCGGATCCATCTGGAGCGATCTTTTCACCCCTACCATTTCGGTATTCCTTTGGCACCTCTTCTTGTGCTAGATACCCGTGGACATTGTTTTACATGCGAGGGGGTTCTCCTTCCCCTCTCGGTGTGTGTGTTGTTCTGAGACTGGACGCCATGAGACCGAGACCTTTACCCACCTTTTTCTAGAGAGTGAGATTGTGAGGAGAGTGTGGGAGCACTTTGCCACCTGGACACATATATCCTTACTCTCCACAGACAGTTTCTTTGAGCTCTTGAGTTTTTTCTCATAGAGCAGACACTTTAGACGCGTGGGCTTCCTCATTCCTTGTCTGATCCTTTGGTTCACCTGGACAGAAAGGAACAGTGCGAAGCATAGGGATATTCTTTTTTTTTGCTTTCTTATATTGTTTTGCACGTAGAGAGACATCTTTCACTCCTTACATCTTTGGGCAGGCTCACTGCCCGAGACTGGACAGGCTGCACGCCACCACACCGCTACATGGTGGCTCCACCTGCGCCTGTTCGGCCCCTTCGACCCAGAGCTGTTGTTTGGCTTCGACCCGATTCTCCTTGGGTCAACCTGAACACTGATGGTTCTTTCGATCACCAGACCGGAGTTTCCGAAGGAGGAGGTTTGATCTGGGACCACAGCGGCGCCCTTATCACCGCCTTCCACACGTCCCTTCATGCCTCTTCGAGCTACGACGCAGAGATTCAGGCACTACAGATTGGATTTCAGATTGCTGCCCACCTCTCTAGTCATATTTGGATCGAGCTGGACGCTGCGGCTGTGGTCACCATCCTGACCTCGGGCCACCAGGGCTCGTGGCAGATTCAGCACCTGCGTATGTGCATTAGAGCTCTTCTGCGTCTGTCCATCACAGGATTACGCACATTTTCCGTGAGGGGAACAGATCAGCTGACTACCTTGCCAGCATTGGCGCCACCACACCTGACCTACACACGTTTTAGACAGACACTGCTCCACTCCGCCTCGCACGCTGGTACGGATGGACCAGCTTGAATATCCATCTTTCTGCTTTTAGTAGATTAAATTTTGTTCCTATTAGATCATACATTTATTCCGAGCACCTGTTAGCCCGATGACAGACCTTGTATTATTTTCTTTTTCTGTTTTTGTTTCTTTTGTTTTGACTGTGAGACTATGTTGACTGTAGCTATTTGATATTTTGGGCCCGTTTTGGGGTTTTCATCTATGTAGAGGTTGGGGATCTAGCCCTATCCCCCGCCCTTCGGGGCGTTAAAAAAAAAAAAAAAAACTTAGCAGCTAGAATGAACTAACCTAGCAACAAAAGACCACTAACCTAGCAGCATCAGACCACTAACCTGGAAACAAAAGACAACTATCATAGCAGCAAAAGACACCTAACCTAGCAACAAAAGACAACTGACCTAGCAGCATCAGAAAAATAACCTAGCAACAAAAGACAACTAACCCAGCAACATCAACAACTAACCTAGCAACAAAAGACCCACTCCTCACAAAAGACATTGTTTTGCAGGTAGAGATACAACTTTCACTCCTCACATGATTGGGCAGGCTCACTGGCCGAGACTGGACAGGCTGCACCCCGCCACACCGCTACATGATGGCTCCCCCTGCACTTGTTCGACCCTCTCGTCCCAGAGCTGTTGTTTGGCTTCTACTCGACTCTAGTTGGGTCAAGCTGAACACTGATGGTTCTTTCGATCGCCCGACCGAAGTTTTCAGAGGAGGAGGTTTGATCCGAGACCACAGTGGCGCCCTAATCACCTCTTTCCACACGTCCCTTCAGGCCTCCTCGAGCTACGACGCAGAGATTCAGGCACTACAGATTGGCCTTCAGATTGTTGCCCACCTCTCTAGTCATATTTTGATCGAGCTGGACGCTGCGACTATCGTCACCATCCTGAACTCGGGCCACCAGGGCTCGTGGCAGATTCAACACCTGCTTATGCGCATTAGAGCTCTTCTGCGGTCTGTCCATCACAGGATTACGCACATTTTCCGTGAGGGGAACAGACCTGCTGACTATCTTGCCGGCCTTGGCGCCTCCACACATGACCTACACACGTTTCAGACCGACACTGCTCCACTCCGCCTTCGCATGCTGGTACGGATAGACCAGTTTGGATATCCATCTTTCCGCTTTTAGTAGATTAAATTTTGTTCTCATTAGATCATACATTTATTCCGGGCACCTGTTAGCCCGATGACAGACCTTGTATCACTTCCTTTTTCTGTTTTGGTTTCTGTTTTGACTGTGAGACTATGTTGACTGTTACTGTTTGATATTTTGGGCCCGTTTTGGGGTCTTGATCTATGTATAGGTTGGGGATCCAACCCAATCCCCCTTAGGGTTGTAAACAAATCAAATAATTTTTATTCGATTCGTGATTCGAATTCGATATTCGTGATTCGAATTCGAAATATTCGAATTCGAATTCGAATTCGAATGATGTTTTCGATTCGAAATTATAACGAATTCGAATTTGAATGTGTAGATATTCGATTTGAAATTCGAATATTAGATTCGTTAACAATAATTATATAAATTTTATAATTTATATATAATATATATTTTGTTTATAATATATGTATATATATGTTGTTATATTCCTAATATTTTTATGACATAAAAAGTAAAAACATCATAAATTAACAAATTTTTCTAAAAATATATAAAAAATAAAATTTATTTTTTTAATTATAATATTTTTATAAAATTTATATATAATATACATTTTGTTTATAATATATGTATATAACTATATATATATATATTGTTATATTCCTAATATTTTTATGACATAAAAATAAAAACATCATAAATTAACAAAATTTTCTAAAAATATATGAAAAATAAAATTTATTTTTGTAATTATAATATTTTTTAATTATAATATTTTTTTTAAAACGAATTTCGAATCGAATCGAATATGTTCGAGTATTCTAAACGAATCGAATACGAATCAAAAAATGAATTCGTTATCGAATCAAATCACGAATCGAATCTTCGAATATTTTAAACGAATCGAATCGAATCTCTGAGTATTCTCTTTGATTCGATTCGTTTACAACCCTAATTCGCAGCCCTTCGGGGCGTTGTTTGTAAAAAAAAATAAAAAAAAAATACCTAGCAACAAAAAACAACTAACCTAGCAGCAACAAAGAACTAACATAGCAACAAAAGACAACTAACCTAGCAACTACAGATAACTAAACTAGCAACTACAGAGAATTAACATAGCAACTTCAGAGAACTAACCTAGCAACTACATAGAACTAACCTAGCAACTATATAGAACTAACCTAACAATCTCGCCGAACCTCGCCGCCTCCGGCGGCAAACCTCCCGACCTCA